CATTCCTGTAACATCTGCAGCTTACCCTTTGACAAGGACATAGTTTTATGTTGTAACGCTAATGCCTTAAACTCCCCTAGCTCCCACTGTAACTCTTACCTTTCCGTGATCGCTGGTGTAATGGAAGAAACCCTCAAAAGAGAGGTAGAACCTGAGTTCTAGTCCTGGCCCTGTAACTGTGTGACCCCGGGGAGGTCATCAAACTTTTCTGGGTCATACTTTCAGTATCTCAGAAAGGGAGAGGGTTATATTACGTCATTAGAGCCATTGTAATCATCTTCACAAATGTAACTTTTCAAAACTGGAAAGTTATTGAGTTGAAATCTTATGCCTTGTCATGTCACCCTTTCATCTTTGTTTTGTCTTCCTAGTCACTTGATGGGCGAAGCAGAGACACGACTCCCACTGGTCAGGCAGACTTGCACTAGCTAAAAGAATTAGGTGGTCCTCTCATCTCAAGTTTTGTGATTGTCACTTTTTTTTAACTGTTACTCTTAATGCATCCCCAGTAGGTTTGTGTTCCCTTCAGGTGCTGGGTGGTCCTTGTGTGATTCAGAGACTACTTGGTCATTTACTCCTTTGGGGGGCTCCTGCAAGTCCAGACATATATCCTGGGTAAATCAGTATCTCTGCCCATGAAATGGGTGAGGCAGCTTCTCCCTTGGCCACCCAAGGATGAAATAGAGGTGGTAGAATAGGCCAGTATCTTGCCTAGTGCCATCTTTTGAGAATGTGGAAGGGCTGAAACCCAAATATCTGACTCTGTGATGTGCCAGGCCTATCCACTTACGATCTGGAATCTCAAGCTTGGGGTGGACAGACCTAGGGTTCTGTTTTGGTCTGTTTGGGCTTGGCAGCCAGTCAGCTTCTCGTTGTGTGGGCTGTTGTGGCTATTCTTGAGAGAGTAATTAGGCAACTTCTCCATTTGCTCAGTAAATATTTACTGAGAGTGCCAGGCACCTTGCTGGCTGTGAACAGATATGGTCCTTGGCCATATGGAGCTTATAGTTTGGGGGGCATATAATAAACATGGTCATACAGATTACATGTGATCATGCATAGAAATCTTATATGATTATACATACAACTAAGTATTATTATATATGCTGGTAATGCCCACCTTTATCATTTTAGCCCATCCTCTCCATCTCGAGCCGTATATATTTTGCTGCCTACTCAACGCATCTAATATCTGAAGGGTTTCTCAGTTTAACATGCCCCAAACAGAATGAGCCCGCACCCCCACTCCCTGCTCCTTCCAGACTTTTCCATCTCAGTTAATTGTGATTTCATCCTTCTAGTTGCCCAGGCCCCTAAAATTCTAGAGTCATTCCTGACTCCTCCTTTTCTTTCAACATCCCACATTCACTTAATAAATCTTGTTGGCTTTGCTTTAAATATAACCAGAACCTGGTGCTCACCATCTTTACCACTGTCACCCCTGGTCTAAGCTACCATCGGCCTCTTAACTGACCTTCCTGCTTCCTCCCTTGTCTCCCGACAGACTATTTTCAGCACAGCAGTGAGAGTGATGCTGTAAACCGTAAGTCAGATTCTGTTACTCCTCTGTTCCCCATCTCATTCAAAGTCCTTGTGTTAGTCTACAAGACAGTATGATTTTCACCAGCTTACTTTTTTAAGCCCTCTCTTGCTCTTCATCCCCTGATCCAATCCCTGATATCTGAATGAGTCTCTCCCTCCCATTCCTCCCAGACCACCCTTTTTAAAATCAACCCATTTCCCTCCACCATCTGCTCTTGGCATTATCTACGACCCTTCTCTATTTTATTTTTCTTTGTGGCACTTACCATCATCTGACACTGGCTGTCTCACCTACTATGTGTGGCCACATTTTTATTTGTTCACTCCCTGGTACCTGGAGCAGTGCCTGGCGTATAGCAGGTGCCTAATATTTGTTGAATTAAATACTCCCACCTTAGATGGCTGTTAGGACAGGTATCTAATGAAGGGACTTAAGCTGCAACCTCAGGGTGGTATTCTGTTCCTGGGACTGACTTCTCTCTTGCCCCAGGCCTGGGGAAGTTCTCAAATACCTGGGACATAATTCCCTACAATTTGAGCCTCTTATGAGAACAGAGTAGAGTGAAGCTCCCTATTAAGGTCCTAAGCAGGCAGTAGCACTTTTTGTCATTTTATGTGTGCATCTATGTAAGAATGGACTCATATCCTAGGCACACCCTGTATTTGTAGTCATTAACTCCAGGGGCAGGGATGGTGTAGTCTAATAAACTGAGGCAGGAGGTGGGTGAAGTGGGTTCCAGGCCTCTCTACCCATTGATTTGCTGGAGAATTTTTAGAATCATAGAATTTTAGAGCTGTAAAGGAACTTAAAGATTTCTTTAACCTCGTTTTTCCTTTTCCAGCTATTAAAAAGAGAATAAAGGTTTATCTGCTCCCTGCCAAGTTCACAGAAATATGGTGCAACCTATATAAAAACTGCCTGGGCTCCTTTAAGTTTTGAGTGTGCCAAGGTCAAGACATTGTAGGGAAGGTGGTATTAAGGTCAAGTGTATTCAAAAGTGGGGAGGCCTATCTCTTTGCCTCTTTCTTCAGTGGTCATCTTGGGCAAGCCATTTGTTTGTGCTCAGTTGGTCCTCTATTTAAAAATAAAAAGATGGTAATACCTCCAGTTTAGAGAGATGCTCAGGGGATAAAATAAGCTAATACTTTTTAAAATTACTTCCATGGCTGTATGATTTGCTCAAATATGAGTTCCCAACCCAGAGCCTTATCTGGTATTGATGAGAAATAATGCCTTGGTTCTCTGCTTCTTCTTAATTGTGTGTGTGACTTTGGACAAGCCTGTTAATCTCTCTGAGCCTCAGTTTCCTCATTTGTACAATTCGATGACTATTAACCCTGCCCACTTCCCAAAGAGGTTGTAAGAATCAAGTCAGATCCTGGATGAAAAGAGATTTTGTGAACTTATGAAGTTTCTATTATCCAAAGTTACAGCATTTTTACACACAAAAACCATAGCCAGTTATTTTTTATCCCCACCAGATCATTGAAACTTACTCTTTTTTAAAGAGCAAAACTATAAAAGAAATGTTTAAAAACTATTTTTGGATGGGAATCTTCTGAAACGGATGATATGCTTCCAAGCAAAGTATACTGAGCACGAATAACCTCTCTTTGCAACTCAGTGGTGTTGAGTTCCCACTTATATGTACAAAGCACCTGCTTGGTGGAGGTGGGGACCACAAAAGCTTCTTTCTCTCAAAAGTCTTTATCTCCAAAAGAAGGGAGTGGGGTGGAGTAAACTGGTAGCATGCAGAAGGAAATTGCCAAGAGAAAGACTGTGCAGAAGTGGCCTGCCCCGAGGTCCCCAGCAGCAGCCTTGGTGTGGGAAGGCTCTCGAATCCTGTTCTGGGCTCTGAATAGGAAGTGCATGCTGCCTAATCAGTTATCATGCTTGTGACAGCATGAGACTGCTGGACTTCTGAGATTCTAGGGCAGTGAGCCCCAAACTGAATGGTTCCCTGCTGCTGTGCTTTTGGGGTTCACGTTTCTACCTGTAATCATTGCTCTGTTTTCTCCCTGGTAGTCAGTGGTCAGTTCTTCTCCCCACCATTAAAAAAAAAATCGTGGTTAGATATACATAAAATTTACCATTTTAATTACTTTTAAGTATACAATTCTGTAGCATTGCATTCACACTGTTGTGCAACCATCACTACCATCCATCTCCGCAACTTGTTTCATCTTCCCAAACTGAACCTTTGTACCCATTAAACACAAATTCCTCTTTCTCCCCTTCCCTCAGCCCCTGAAACCACGGTTGTACTTTCTCTTTCCAAGAGTTTGACTATTCTAGGTACCTTACATAACTGGAATCATATGGCATTTGTTCTTCTGTGTCTGGCTTATTTCACTTAGCATAATGTCTTCAAGTTTTATGCATGTTGTGGCATGTGTTAGAATTTCTTTCCTTTTTAGGGCTGAATAATACTCCATTATATGGATATACTACATTTTGCTTATCCATCATCATAGGACACTTGGGTTGCTTCCGCTTTTTGGCTACTATGAATAACGCTGCTGTGAATATGATTGTGCAGATATGTATCTGAGACCCTGCTTTTAGTTCTTTTGTGTATATACTCAGAAATGGAATTGCTAGATTATAACTTAATTCTGTATTCAATTTTTTGAGGAACCGCTGTACTGTTTTTGTCAGCAGCTGTACCATTTTATATTCCCACCAGCAATGTACAAGGGTTCCAATTTCTCCACATCTTTGCTAATACTTGTTATTTCCTGTGTGTGTGTGTGTGTGTGTGTGTGTGTGTGTGTGTGTTGATAGGAGCCATTCTAATGAGTGTTAAGTGGTATCTCATTGTAATAGTCACTTCTTAAAATCCCATCTGCTGAGCTAAAATAGAAGCTTCTCCAATTTCTTGAGCTTGTTAGAATTTTTCTTTAGAGAAAGAGTAGGTGGGCTTAAAGTCAATCCTGAGAGGTCCCACAGAGAGGCAAGTACAGGAGCTTGGGTCGGGGGAGAGTCTGTGATGTATTTCTGGTCAGAATTTGGCTTGCTTCTGGGTTTCCAACTATGTGGTCACTGGTTGGGATGGGTGGGTGGGTGGATGGACGGACGGATGGATGGATGTGTCCAGTTAAACAAAGCATTTCTGTATTATCATTCATTTGACTCCCAAAGAATGTTAATGCTATCTTACTCTGGTTGAGCACCACTTTTTTTTTTAGCTCCCTTTTATGTGTGAGAGATGCAGGTCTATGGTTCAAATGAAGAATGTAGGGATGAGTGAAAGGTAGGGAATGTTACAATAACATGGCAATATGGCACTTGTCTGCTGCTTGAGGCCACGTGCTTCTCTTTGAACAAGACCTCCCTCCTTTCTGAGCCCACAGGGAATGGGGACCAAGCTCAGTGTGCCCCCATACCTCTGACCAGCCTCAGCCCCTCAACTCCTGCATCTATTGCCCTTGTAAAGAAGAACTTGTCAGGAACTTGTCACACTGTTGTGCAGCCATCACTACCATCCATCTCCGCAACTTGTTTCATCTTCCCAGTACTGAACCTTTGTACCCATTAAACACAAACTCCCCTTTCTCCCCTTCCCTCAGTCCCTGAAAGGCTGGAGTACCTTCTGTGGGGTAAGGGGTTAAGGAAGTGGGGGATGGAGATGGCTTCTCATTTGTACCTGTCTCTTCTGAGAGGCTGGCACCAGAGCCCAAGCCTAGACAGCCAGCCAGTCCCCAAGCAGCTTGGATCTTAGAAGCAAGCCCATGGACTTGGAATGTTGTTCTTTTTAAGGGCTTGAAGAGAGGCAGTAGGAATAGCTCACCTTTGCTGGGTGTTTACCATGTGCCAGGAGCATCACCTGCAGTAGTGGGGTCAGTCCTCACAAACACCATATGGGTGGATACTATTATCCCCTTTTTACAGATGAAGACATTGAGCCTTAGAAAGGTAACATCTCCTGCCTAAGGCCATGCAGCTGTAAACAGCAGAGCCAGGCCTGGAACCCAAGTGGTCTGATCTCAGAGCTTGAGCTTTTGGCTGGAATGGAAGAGAACACACATTTTGTTCGTTTGTTTGTTTTTAGTAAGAATTTATTATTGAGTACCTTCAGGCAACATGCTAGGTCCATTCAAACAATCATCATATTTATTCTGCCCATTTTTCCTATAGGAACATTTTTACCCATTTTTACATATAGGAAAGCTGATGGTTAGGAACTTAAATTGATTGCTGGTGATCATGATACTGAGGAGAGGTAGAGCTGGAACTCGGCTTAAGTACTTCAGCTAATTGAGGTGCTCAAAGCTCATTCCATTGTGCTGTGAGCTCCCTCTTCCAGCCCCCATGAAAAGAATCTAGGAGGTTAGCTGTGAAGCCTGCAGAGCTACAAGGACTGTAACTACTCTCTTCCCTTCCTGCTGCTGTCACCATCTTTTATTTTCCAGCCCCCAGGCTCCAATCTGCACACCTAGGAGCCACATGTGCTTTGGCACATCGTAGGTGCTCAGTAAATATGTGTTGACTGTTGCTTGAGGGCTGAGTCTCCTCGAAGCAGCAGAATCTCAGCCAAGATTGTGTTCCTAAAGAGAAACACAAGTAGAATGCAAACATCATTGTTTCCTCCTCCTCCTCCCAGAACGAACCTATACTTTCTGATTTCTGGATGCCAGAGATTTGAAGAAAAGAGTGTCCTGGCTCTGCAGACTTTGAAATATTAAATTCCCAAGGGAAAAGAGATAAGAGAGTCACATTAGTAAAGTGCTTGCAGGATCCGTTATATTCTTTGTAATTAATATAACTGATGATCCTTTGCTCAGCATTTTGCAGTTTTCAAAGTGCTTTCACAAGTGTTATATGTCATTCGATTGCCACAGCCATCCTGTTAGGTAGGCAAGGCAGGAATCATTTTTCCTGCTTTATGGATGAGAATACCGAGCTTAGTAGGGTGTTAGCTACCCAAGATTATTGACAAATAAGTGGCAGAGAGGCAGAAGCCATGGAAAGTAGTAATGGCTCCACTACTTTCTCACTGA